GGGAAGTTTCTTGTCAGCATGCTTTCAAGAAATTAAATGAAAAATTGGCCTCAGCTCCACTTTTAAAGCTTCCAACTCCCTCATTGCCGTACATACTGGATTGTGATGGTAGAATGTCGGAATTGGAAGAGTGTTGTCTCAGAAAGTGGGTGAAAACGAACATATGGTGGCCTACTTCAGTAGGGTCCTGAGTAGACCAGAGAGGAAGTACTGTGTAACTCGAAGGGAACTACTTGCTCTGTGGGGGCTATGTTTACCATTAGGACAGACCATGCTGCATTACTCTGGTTAAGATCATTAAAGAACCAAGAGGGTCAACTGGCACATTGGATCGGAAAGATAGACCAGTATAACTATGATATTGAATATAGAGAAGGAAAATCTCATGGAAATGCCGACGGACTAAGCCGAAGACCCTTTATGATATATAACAAGCATTCAGTAAAAATTACAAGTCAGTTGTTCACAAAAAATCAGATTTTCAGATGAAATATTTTTACTAAAGTTTTCTCCTTGAATATATGAAGTCAGGATGTTGATTGCTCTGAATGCAAAATGATTTTCATGTTAAGATTAAAAATACTTTTCTTTATGTGAAAAATTTTGGATATGATTTATGTAACCTCGATAACCTCCTAAATAAATATCAAACGTTGTTTTTTAGTAAAACTTTATATTTTATCTGTTCTTTTCTATACCTTAACTTTATACTCAATTGATTTGACCGATCTTGTAATCACCTTACAAAGAATATGAAATAAGTCTAAATTACCCCTTTTTTTTATTCCAGAAGAGTGCAGGTTGTAAAAGAGAACTACAATTGTTTATCCTAAAAAGCTTAAGGCTTGTACAGTCTACATCTGTTCATACTTAATTTTATTTTTTATTGCCCATTCAACCATGTCTAACTAATAATCTTGCTACAAAAGTTGTAAATCACTCGGCAAATGCATAGTTCAAGTTACTGTATTGAATGGTGTAATGCACGAACTGCTCATGAACATACCTCATGAAGGATTTTTTGCCATTATCTTACCTAATAAGTTTCAGATTTTTTCATTTTAGATACCTTTATAATAATAGATAAAAAATATACATGAAAAACAAGAAATATAGTACTTACATTTGACCCATTGTTTTTTGTTGCTGTTGATTACCAAAGAAATTTAAGCCTACTTTTTTATAATGATGGTACTACTACACTAAATATTTTTTTTTACTTTAATGATGCAACCAAGAACACAGAATAATAACTTGCATAAAGCGAACAATGGCCTATAACTATTATAATTTAACTGGCTTTCTAACTAAGAGGGGCTTAAATTAAATCCCTTAGCTGCTTATCTGTACACCACAAGATAAACTTTCTAAATGAAGACAAAATTGACAATACCCTTTACTGAAAACAATGTAGCATTATACGTCATTTAATAGATTAAAACTTTGCATTTCTATTGATTATAAATGATGTAGTATGAAACATCAGAAAGAATTATTGGATATGACAGGTGAGAATGATTAATGGTTCTGAATTTCTAATTTATGACTTCATGAAAAAATAAGACTGAAGGCTATAAAAATTAGATTTTGCCTTAGTAATATCTATATTATTAAGAGTGATTTACATTCAATTCTATACTTTAGAGAGGGTAGTAAATAAATTAGAGAAGGGAAAAGATCTAGAGAACAAAAATCATAATTCTCATACTGGGGGATACTGAGGATTTTTTAAAATTTACTTATAAAATTAAAAACTTAAATTTACATAATATTAAAATTTTATTTATTATGCCAAGTTTATTTGTATACATTGATAATAAAGTAGTTTAATTTTGAATGTTACTGTAAAATGTTGTGACGTGCACTTTGACTTATCCATTGCAAGAGGGTTAATAACATTAATAATATATTTGTAGTATAAGCTTGTTTGTATATTTGGGATTTTTAGGTCTCTTATCGTACATTTTAATTTACACTCAATTTCTGTTATGTTTATGTTCTTTATGCCCTCCAGTGGCACAGCGGTATGTCTGCGGACTTACGACGCTAGAA